ATCTCCACACATATAGGAGGTTTTTTTTTTGTAGGCATCATTATTTTTTTAAAAATTGAAGACAATTCATGGATCTTATGATGTCTCAGTTTGGACGGACTTGATATAAAGAAAGTTAGAATGTGAACACAGATGAAATTAGCTGCAACCTCAAGATGAATAGGAAAAGAAAAACAAAAGTCAGAGAGGAAAGTCTCAGAATCTATAGGGGTAGAAGTTGGGCAGACATCACCCCAATTCCAATCAATTGCAAATGTGAGCAGGGATCTGATGGCATTGAGCAGGGGCAATGTTGATGTATGAAGAGAGAGTCATACACCAAACATAACAAGTGTGGGGACACTGAGAATATAAAGACCATGTGCTGACCTCTACCAAGTAAGACATGGAGGTGCTCACCCACAAATCTAGGCTGAGTAACAGACACAGTTGCCAAAGACACAGGGCCTCATCTTAATTAAGTACAAACATTATTTAAATGGATCTATTTCTTTCCTTCTAGCTTTCCTTTGGAAGTGTGGGCACCTTGCTACCTCTTCACAGCCCAATATTGAATCATTGCCATCCAGGGTTGCTGAAGGGAGAAGTGTTCTTCTACTTGTTCACAATCTCCCAGAGAATATTGTATACTTTGTCTGGTTCAAAGGAATTACTGTGTCCAAGAACATTGTGGTTTCCCAGTACATACTAGGCAGTAAGTCAACTGTGTGGGGACCTGCATATGGTGGCAGAAAGACATTGTACAGTGATGGATCCCTGCTGCTTCATGCTGTCACCCAGAAAGACCATGGATTTTACACCCTACGAATTCTGAGGGCAGATATGAGAAGTGAAGAAGCATGGGTGCAACTTCATGTCGACAGTAAGTGATTCTCTGTGATTGTTCAGTGTTGGGTGGGGTTAGACACACCATACTGTCATGGCCGATCTAGTCCTTCTCCCCTTAGCATGGTGTCTCCATGTAGAGGTTTGAGCATTTAATGCAGGATACAGTGATAGAGACAAATGGCCATAGATCAGTTTTCATCTTCTGTCTCTACCTTCATCAAAAAAGGCCTTGATGAAAAGTAATTCAACCTAAGATGTCAGAGTCAGTAATGCTCCTGGGTCTCTAGACCAGGGAGCCCTGAATCCTGTCATATTTCCAAGGCTATACTAAAATGATCTAGGGGAGCATTTTTCCAGTGCTCTACTCATACCTCCTCTCAAAACTATGATTCCTATTGGCTTGGTCTTCATGTTTGTTAAACCTGATCTCTTATATCACACAGGAGTCCTATCCCAGGGCTAGGAACTGCCTGAATTGGTCTGAATACTTTTGTATCAACCCCAATATAAAAAAAAAAACTATAGTTTGCCCAAAGACCAATCAGGTGATAGCATTTTCAACTAAAGACTTGTTTTGAAAAATGACCATAGCTTGTATCAAGTTGATATAAAACCTGCCAGCCTAGTTCCAAAGACCTTTAAGTCTATGCCTGCCTTGAAGATCAGACTGTTCCCAGCCACCACACAGGCCCATAATGAAGACTTGACAAAATGAATACATTTGCTCAAAATAGAGGTCAGAATCTTTTCACCAAGCCCAGTGATCCATATATGATGTTTTTTTTTCTCTTTTCACTCCCAGGCTCCGTTTCACTGTTCTGTAATGCTCTCACTTCTTCCCAATTCATGATCCAGTCAGTGCCTCGGTATGCTGCTGAAGGGAAAGGTGTGCTTCTGCAAGTTCATAATCTTCCAGAAGATGCAAAAGCCTTTTCCTGGTTCAAATCAATATCTAGGACCCATTTTCAAAAAATTGTAGAGTACAGCAGAGTCAATAATTCCATCACCTGGGAACCTGCATTCAGAAGACAAGGGATGGTGTATGAAAATGGATGCCTGATGCTCCAGAATGTCACTGAGGAAGATGCAGGAATCTACACACTAGAAGTTTTAAAAAAAGATTCCAAATTTGAAAATGCATTTGTGGAATTTTATGTGAAGAGTAAGTGATTTTCTATCGTCTTCAACTTCTGGATGTGGCTTATCCTACTTCATATTCCAAACTGTCAGGATTGGTCTATTCCTGCTTTCTCCCTCACTGCATTGTGCCCTCCACTAGGGTTTGGGCCCTCACCACAGGACACATATTGAGTAGACAAATAGTAATAAATCATAACCCCTCACCTCTGTTGACCTGCGGAGAGGAGAAACTGTTCTGGGTAAACTTAACATGATGATGTCAGCTACAGCCCAGATTCTTGGAGCTCTTACCATACACATGTCCCAAAAGATTCCA